ATTTTTCCTAAAGGGATGAGGATTTCCATATATGTTATTGAGAGATGAGGATTTCTCTCGAGGGGATGAGGATTTTCTTTGCATACCGATAGCTCGACGGAGGCCGGAGAATTTGGTGGGTCAACCTGTATGCCCTCAATGTTCACGACAGCAACTTCCATAACAGCATCGTCATCATCTTCGACGACAATAATTTCATTGTTGGGACTAATTTCATTACAAAGCAAAGCTGGCATTATGTCTTGCACCGTACTAGTCTCTAGGTTGGAACGCATCATCTCCAAATGCACCCTATGGATTACCAGCATCTCTTCCTCATTGAAGATTTCCTCCCAAGCACTCTGGCCCTGACTATGGTTTGACAGGAAATTAGTGTTGTAAGTAAAGTAAAATGTTCATTAGCAAGCTATATAATGTCTTTTATTTATCTGTACAACTAATTTAGCGGTTGTATGTAATCCTGACCTCCTCGATATCTAGTGCTACAACATGTCTGGCTGGGTTAGCACCGGTAACAATTTAAGATCTTCCCCGACATTAAAAGAGGATCTATAGTGGAACAGGTAGTTTGCTACTGCTAACTCCTACAGTTGCATAGATCGAAAGTTCTGTCTAGGTCAAACGGGACGACATGTAGAAGCTGACATCAGAGTTTGTCAAAAATTTTATCGTTGGAGTCTTCCTAAACTAGCATCCACTCGGGGTACTGGTAAGTCAGAGCAACCGAAGTCGTGTCTAGCAACAAATATCTTGTTCAGACAACTCCCATTAGAGACTCAAATGTTTTGTTCTCACGAATCATCCCTACGAAGCCTAGGTCAGTCGGGTTGAACATAAAATCTCACTCTCCTGTATCAGCTTTCACCCAAATCCCATGAACCAGTCGAACAAGCTTCCCCATCTGCATAGTTGGAGGGAAAAAATGTTATTGTTGTAACGACCGCGAACCAATTTTTGGGGAAATTGTTCAATTGAACCGGTTTGGTTCAATTTTAATTGTCCGGTTCGTGTGGTTGGTTAGGTGAAACCCGAGGGTTGAGTATAAAACATGATCAAAAGTATTTTGATCGCGTTTTTGGGGTGAGAAAGCAGAGAGAGAGGCTGAGATTCGTGGATTGAGTGAATTGTGAGAGAAGTGATTTTCTTGAGAGAAAAACAGTTATGTCCGATTTTAGAAGAGGAGACGAATGGCTAGGAAGATTGAATTGGAGTGAAACTTCTAGGGTAAGATCTCCACTCTCGTATCTAGCTTTGGGCGAAATCGGTTTATCATTTGGATTAGTATTCCGAGAGTTATCGTCATTTTACTAAGAGTTGTTTCTGCAGTTTTGGGTCTGCAATCAGTCCATTGTGAGGGAGGATTTCCGTCGAACCAGATAGACTTAGGAGATGATACGCCTATCTGTGGAAATCTCTCTCTATCTAGTTTCTAGATCAGGTTTCTGATCCTTATTTTGAGGTAATCTCTGTTCTCGGTGTGCTTTCGAAGTCAGCGTGTCATTCCTGTTTTCTGAAACCGTAATTCGGTTTAGGTGATTTTTTTTGGAAAAAGGATCGTACATTGGTTAATTTCGGATTGGGAGAATGAAATCAGAGGCTGGGCGATTTAGGGTTGTGTGTTCTTCGTGTTGATCCTCATTTTCAATCCGGAATCG